TAGTCTGAACCAGGGAAAGATTTAGCAGAGGTTTTTGGTCATGGCAATACAAAACCGTATTCTCTCTGTGAGCAAGCCCTGGTTTTAGCTATACCGAAGCCATTATTTTATCTGCTGATACCAGTGTTTAGGAGAGAAATGTAAAATAAAATTAGGAAAAGGGCATTTCTTTCCGTCTCAGCAGAACTGTTTTTACCAGCAGGTTCCCAAGTTTGCAATACGCGCGGCTGGTTTTGGCAGTCACCACCATGAAACAACCGAGCTCGCAGTGGGTCGTACCCCTGTTCTGCCCGCTCGCTGGGAGAGAAGCAAAGATGGATTTTGCCACAGGAGATTAATCAAAGATGCTGTTGCCCTCCACGATAAATTATTTATATTCAGTCCAGTGTTTTCTGCTGTGCTTCTGTTTTCTACAGCTTGCATACAGTCCCACGGAAAGTCCTTACTATTTTGTAATGGCAAAAAGGAACTCTGCAGTAGAAATCTGTAATGACTGAACAGGAACATCACCTTCCTCTTGTAAATAAGATCTTGTCCTGTTTATTTTGACAGCTTTTTACAACTGTGTTGCATTCAGGTGTAAATATCCCAAACCACGATCTTGTTCAGAGTTCGGAGATTTCTATTGTTAAATGTAATACTTTGTTTAATAGTTGTAATAATTATTTGTATAGATATGAACATGATAGTATTTTATTAAAAAAGAAAAAGGAAAACCCTGGGAGTTGTGTGTCCGTGTTGATGCAGCTCCTTTCCCCAGGGAAAGCCGTGTCACGCTGCGAGATATAGGTAAAAATGGAAGCTTTGTTTTGAGCCTGGGAACGTACAGTTACACCTCTGCACTGCTCTATATTCTCTGTGTACACCAGAGTTATGCACCGCCTTATTTGGCTGTATAAAATCACCTGATCCCAAAGAAACCCAGACTGATAATGAAGTACCTAAGTAACATTCTTGTGGACCCAGAAGATGCCATTATGAAAGATTATGTTTTCTTTAATTAAAACTTAGTATTATGATAGATGAGCTTCCATTTTGTTCCTTCAGTGACAGGCAGAACTGCAGTTTAATGATGGGAGTTGTTCAGAGCTCACTGGGGTTCAGACTATCAAGAAGCTGTGTGCAGGACTACCAGTGGTCTCTGAACAGCCACAGTAACCTACTCCCAGCCTGTCTGCCCAGCCTTGAAAGGGCAGTTCTGGCCCAAGAGGTGGCAGGGAGGGCTGGTTAACTGCACCCAGCACTGCCCAGGAGCATCAGCCCCAATGTCAGTGGCAGCAATGCTGCCAGCACCCTGGGTAAAGGTGGCATTCCTGCCGTAGCAACCTGCTCTGTCACAGTAAAGGGAGGGGAAAGAGGACAGGAGCCATGGGCTGATGCCCTCACCCCTGGCTAACTGCAGTGGGTACAGTGATGTGTGGGACATGGAACAGGGCTGCTGTTGCAGTTTCTGTGAGACCCCAGCAGCACCCAAGGGCAGTGAGGTCCAGGCTGAAAGATGCTGGGGGCGAGGAGGGCCCTCAAGGCTCATACAAACACGTGGTGTGGCCACATGCACATGAAGGAAACCATATCCAGAAGCACAAGTGAAACAGGCTCAGAGTGTTTCTTCTCCCATCTTAAGCTGGAGCTGGAACACAGCCCCAGCACCACACCTCAGTCTCAAATACACCCTGTTAACAGCACTGCTAAACTCAGTTCGTGTTGCCGTCACTGCTAACCCCAAGATCCTTTTCCCTCAGTTTAACAAGCACAGATAGTCTGTATTTAACATCTCCCCTAAAACCATGCCCTCACAGTTCAAAATGTAGTGTGCTGCCCCTGCCTTGGCTGTTCTGCCATCTCAGAGGTGGTGGTAGTAGCTGTAACAGTGTCAGTTTGTGTGATCCTCATAATCCATAATTCACTTTTCTAAACTGTGAGGGAGTATTAGTATTATTATACAAAAGCTCTTTTCGTCACCTTTGAGTTGGCAGAACAACAACTTTGCCTCCATTTCCTGATGCAACAGGGAGCCTGGGATGGTGGTACCCACCCCCCCTGTGTACCCAGGGCAGCACAGCTCTGGGAGAGCGGGAGACACCTTCAGGAACTGTGGAAAGAGAAGAGTACAGAACAGGGAAGAGACAGGGGGGCAGGTAGAGCAGAGCCTACTGATCTCATGGCTGTGGAGCACCCAAAATCCCTTGACCCAACCACAGCACTGCACTTGGACAGGTGGGGGAGGCCCAGGGAAGGCGCTGCAGGAGCTGTAACACAACAATTATACTAAGCTGAGTGTTAACAGGGTTTTTGCTTGTAAAAACCAGCAAACATCAGCTTATTTGTCAAATCACAAGATGAGTATTTAATGAGGAACTGCAAGCAGCTTTGGGCAGTCGTTCCTGCGCAGGAATACAGTTATGCTGGCAGCCACCATTCCCAGACAGGCCCGTTCCTCAGCCCCTACAGTGAGATTAGGAACAATTCCTTCCCCAGAGGGTGCTCAGGCATTGGAACAGGCTGCCCAGGGCAGTGCTGCAGTCACCATCCCTGCATGTGTTCATAACCAGCATAGACGAGGCCCTCAGTGCCATGAGTTAGTGGTGGCCTTGGCATTCCTGGGGAATGGTTGAACTGGATGGTCTTAAAGGTCTTTTCCAACCTGGCTGATTCCATGATTCTCTGATTCTACCTTCCCTGAGGGCAGTCACCTGGAGGAGGACAGAAGCACTAACGGCACACGCTGCTGGTCAGGGGGGCTGCAGAGCAGAGCTTGACACGGAGCTGCCCGAGGGCCCAGCCAGGCACCCACCAGGCAGAACCATGAAGGCAGTGCTGCAGCTGCTGAGTCAGGCGGGGCCTGAAGAGCTGAAGTACAAGCACAGACCAGCAGACAGGGCAAAAGTGGAGGCACAGAAGCAGCAGGGAGACAATTCCATCCCTTTCTCCTGTCTCTGAGGCTAGAGCTGCCTTTCCTTGTATTTATTTAAAGTTACTGCATGTTTTCCTGCTTGTTCTGTGCTGTTCTCTGCCCTCCCTCCCTCACTACTACCACCTTCCCCTTTTTATACTGTGCTCATCCTTGCTTAGCTCAGTGAGCCCATATGTTGCTCTTCTACCTCCTACGTTGAGCCTTCCAACTGCTGTTCAACATGAGTTTTTTCTGACGTCCCTATTTATTGAAGATACCGGCTTTCCAGCTAGAAACAAAACAAGCTTGGAACAAGGTCTGAGATTATAAACTATGGAAGACGCACAGAGAAGGAATTAAAACGCACCCCCAAAACTGGACAAATTTTGAGGCACACAAGCCCTTCTTCAGTCTGGCACAGAAATGATTGTCCTACTATTCCAAGACCTTATCCCATGTCCTTGATGTCTGCACACCGCAAAATATACCAAGAGCAGAACATACCTGTAGAAGAGGAAAAGCTGCTCAGCCTTCTCCACACCTAAACACAGGGTAAGGACAGTCCTGCAAGGCCAAGAGCCCATCCTGTACCCGACTAAGCAGGGGCATGAAGACAGCACAGTGAGCAAAGAGCACTTCAGGTTAGACTCACAAACAGCAGGATCCAACACTGGATCCTCCAAGTCTTGCTCTCCACTCGCCTCAATACCTGTTTGCTCACCGGTTCTGACCGTCTGCCAAGACCAACGTGTGTTTGAACTAGTGCCGCTCTTCTCCCCATCTCTCTGTCTCAAGGGAACTGAGGGAGGCAGCATTTGCTAATTCTCATAAGAAACCACACAGGAGTCTCTGGTCAGACTTGTCCACTTCATATGAAGGCATTCAGTGAGCTCTGGAGCACTTTACAGCTGCAAGGTGTGACTGGTGTATGGACACCGGAGAAACCAGGCAGTTACAGGATTAAAAGGTAGTGAAGCTCCTACAAGAGGCAGATGCTGTAACTGCTGAGCCTCATGCAGCAGCAGGGCAGTATCTTCGCTTCAAGCACCTTTAATCACCCCAGAATTGCCTCCCACCTTTGTCAAGCTCCCATCTTAGATGAAATCTACACATCTCCCTCCAGCTCCCAGAGGAGCAAGACAAGCCTTGACTCCAGTGGAGGCTTCCCTTTGGTTTAGCACTTCTTGGGAGCTGGTGCTGAACCTGCTAGTGCTGGCAGGCACTTTCTGGGAAGAAAAGAAGCTGTGGGCAAGCCCGACTAGCCAAGAACATATGGCAAGGCTGCAGGGTGGCTGAATGCAAAGTGTGGGCTACCATAAGCTTGACGCTCCTCTGCTGGTGCTACTCAGACAAAAGCAAGCGTCATCTCCTTCCCTGCAGCCCATGTTAATGCTGTTAAGGAAGAGAAGCTTGTCCTTCACAACAAGCCTGAGAAATATGCTGCTATTTCCAACAAGAATCATTCACGACTCCATCCACATGGCAAACCTCCCACGTCATGCCCAAAGCACTGTAATGTAAGGCAGCACACAAGGACCACCACCTGCTCGTTCTGGCATGCCCTGCCTGAAACACAGCTCCATCTCTGGGAAGGTTAACAGCCAGCAGCCTCTTGTGTCATTCCTCCTCCAGCCCCTCCTCACCCTGCTGAAGGGGCCTCAGTGAGAAACAAGTGTCTGTTCTTTACTCTATTTAGCCTCACAAAGGCAGTTTGTAACCAAGCAGGTCATCTGCACCTAAGCTCAGCTTTGTGAGGGTCCTAGGGATGACAGCAGCTGTGTGACACCATTGGTACCCCTCTGCCCTGAGTGCTCTCGCTGCTGCTGCTGAAAGCTGGAGCAAGAAGAATTCAGCTCATTCTGCAGAGCAGAGAACCAGGAACATTCATTTTATTGACCATCTTGACAAACACCAACTTAGGAAAAGTAAAATAAACACCAACTGGTGCAAAACCTTACCAGGAGATGCAGACTTCTCCAAGTAGAAAATTGCCACCACCTTCTGCTTTGGTAAGCACAAGTGGAATGGAGCCTTTGCATCACCAGGTACATGCACATACTCCAAAGGAAAAATGCTCAGACAATGACAAGAATAAGGACAGCAGGCCTCAAAGAATACTTTTTTAATTCAAAATTAGCAAAACAGGTCACGTTTTAAGTGCAAGGCCTGAAATAATTCACACCTTATTCTTGTTTTTTAAATAACTAAGAACTGAGGAAGAATGCAGAAGCCATTTAAAAACTTATTCCAGATGCAGAAAAGTTGGAGAGCAGGGAAGTTTGGTCCAGATCTTTAGCCAAAGAGCTCAACCCCAACTGCCCCAAAACCTCCTCCACATTCCCAGCCCAAAAGGGATCCTGCTTTGCCAAGTTTACCTAAAGCCAGCTTGTGAAAGGAGAAAGTCTGAGGCTGCTGGATGGCCTCTCCCTTCCACCTTGTTCCTTCAACAAGCCCACACAGCAGGAACCAAGGGCACAAGGCTGCCCAGGCACAAGGCTGCAGCCTCGCCACACTTTCTTAGGGCCCCTTGAGGACAGCAGTTCTGGTGTTGTCACACTGACAAGTGCCTGCATAGAACCCACCAGAGAGAACTGATGCTGTTCAACACAAGTAAGAGAGGGGCTGCAGGAGCAAAGCAGGAGGTTCTGCCTCTGGCAGAGCACTGGTGGGCAACCCTAGTCCATCCTCTCCCTGCAACACTGCAGTGGTTTGTTACCATGGCTCCCCACCAGCTACAGGAGCAGCATCCCACTGCCACCTCAGTTTGAAGTCCTTTGCTTCCTTGGCAGCTGCAGGACAGGAACCGAACACTCTCCCCATGATGCCAAAGGAACTATCAGAGGGCAGCAGCCTGCAGGGCACAGGCCACCAGCTGCCAATGCAGGAGGACCTGCACTGCACTTCTCAAGCCCGCTCACCAGACAGGAAGCAGAGCACGTCAGCAGGGAGGAAGGGAAGCCAAGGTCTCAAACACACCTCCTGTTTCCTCCCTCTTCACTGGCTCCAGCACCTGCTGCACCTACAAGCCAAAGGGCTGTGCACGGGCCTCAGCGCTGGGTCACGCCTGCCCCAGAGGATGTGGTGAGAAAGGAGAAAATGGCATCTTCCCTCCCAGTCCCACCTCAGTTACTGCAGCACCTTCACGCTTGCTGTGGGATCCGGCTCCCCTGCTCCCACAGGGCTGTTGGCCACAGGAGCAGGCTCATTCCCCACAGATGCCAATGGCCCAATGGCTTTGGTTGAGCAGTTTGGGACGCCCCTGCGCCCCCATCCCCTAGCGTTCAGAACACCGGGATCTTGTCCCTGCGCACCACATCCAGGTCATCATCCAGGGTCAGCAGGACCTGAGGAGGAAAGCACGAGGCAGCTTCAGGTCTCACTGGCCAGCCCACAGCTGGGGAGACTGACCAGCTCCTCGCAGCATCTCATCACAGGGGGGTTCCACCTGGGCCACATCTCCAGCATGTACAGGTGTCACAACTGCAACCCATGGAGATAAGCCAGATTCATTTTGCTTCTGTAATGCTCCTAGCAAGTCACTCTAGCAGCACAGCTGACAGGTAGCTCTGCCTACAGTGCTGCCAGAACCTGAGCAGGTAATCATGCCTCAACTATGACAGGGATGCTGCTTGTAAACTGGTCCTAGCCTCTGGAGAGCCATCCAGGAGGCAGCAGGGTGGGAACTGCTTGACCACAGCTCAGGCATTGCAAGTGGCCAGGCAGCTCCTTCACAGTTTGCACCTTGTGCAGCTAGGGTTAAGGTCCCCCTTTTTACTTCCCCAAAACAATATGCTCTGACCCCATCACAGGGGATGCCTCCACCTTTGCCACTGCACAGACCATCAGGCCTGAAAAGAGGTTCCAAGTAAAGGAGCATAGGAGACAATTATGGAAGTGATGGAAAGCTGAGGAGAGAGGTGAGCTCCACACCAGTGACTCTAGTGCCTGGGTCAAAGGGGGTAGGGTCCCTTCCTGGGAGGTCCTCACAAACCTATGAGAGGGTTGATCACACCAGCAGCCCCTTAGCTTCCCCACAATAGCTGTGCGACCCACAGCCCAGAGGGAATTTGATGTCAGGAAGCACAGGGAGCAACAAGCCAACTGACAAAGCCTGATCCTACTGTGAAGGGTGTCAGGAGGCAGAGCCAAGCAGAGAAGTTGAGCACTTCTGTGGGGTCCTGAGGCAGCCACAGCTCCATGTACACAGAGGGACATGAAGGAAGAGGAGAGAGTGAGACCACAGAGCAGAGTGGAAGGCCCAGCAGGACTCACCAGAAAGGAGAAGAACAAGGCAGCTGCAGAGAGGAAGTGCCAAACATCATGGTCATCGAAGAAGCCCAGCAGGATGCACGGCCGGTTCTTTTCCCGGGACTCTGCTGGAGTCTCCTAGGGGAGCAGGCAAGGGGTCACTACCCAATAGCCACTCATACAGGGACCTTTCTGGCCATGTTGGACCCTCTGGAGAACGCCCTGTCTTAACTCTCCATGCAGAAGCCAGGAAAAAGGACAGTGCTGGCTGGACATGTGGCGAGAGAAGGGCAGGAATGCAACGTCGTACTTAGACCTGGAGATGAATCTGGGGCCACCGCCCACGGCTGGGTGTCCCTCTGGTCTCCACACCTGAGGTTCTGCATAGCATAAGCTGCACAGTCCCCACACAGCTTCCCATGCTCCCATCCCAGTCTGCTGAAGGGGTTGAACCCTTTCAGCTCTCCAGGAGCAGCCCAAGACTCTTCCCCAGAGTATCTTTTGTGTAAAACAAACAACAGGAAGGAAGAATGATGAGACAGAGACGGACAGAAGGTCAGGGAAAGGGAAACTTTACCTCCCAGCTGCTGAGGGTCTGGAAGAAGAAGTACAGGGCAGCTGCCCACACCACTGCTGTGGCCACAATGCAGAACATGGGGACGGGCAGGAGCTTCTCAGAGCTGCGGAGCTGCAGATAGGTAAGTAGCCTCACATCATCCCCTGAGCCCTTCCCAGCGTCTGGAGGCATGCACAGGAATGACATGCCAGCCAGGACCAGCTGCAGCTACAAAGGGCGCCCCATCCCAGGGAAATACAACCCAGCCACCCCAAGATGGCTACACAGCATCCCTCCCCAATACCAACACCTTGTCGCACCCTTAGCCCCACAAAGACCCATCCACATCCCTCAGCAGCACCACAGGAACACAAACTGCAGCCAGAAAAAGATGCCCATCCTTTCCCCTTTGAGACAGGTGCCCCAGGGACAGGACAGCTACAGCTGCCTCCCTTTACCTTCATGATGATGTAGAAAGCCAGATATAGCAAGAGGTTACAGATAAAGATCCCCAGTATGTAGGAGGCGAAGTCTCTGGGCCTATACACCAGCCCAAAGATGGCACTAAGAGAGAGGGAAAAAGGGATGTTAGACAGCCCTTTACACTGGGGACAGGGTACATCCCCAAACTGACAGCCACCCACTGCCCACCAACCACAAGGCACAACACCACTGCCACAGCTTCCCAGTTCCCTGCAGGAATTGCACTGTTTGCCTCTGCTCCCTGCCAAGCAAACTTGGCCATGGTCAATGCCTGAGAGCAACCAGAGACCCCAGGGGACAGGCAAGGGCCCTGGGTTGCTTCCAACCCACAGCCAAACACATCTCACCCAATAGGAGCTGGCTCCACACCTGTAGGTTTAGCAGAAGGCATGTCCCCGAGAAGCACCTTTTAGTGAAAAGCAAGAGCTTTTCATAATGATCTTAGGTCTCATCCAAGAGCTAACTCCTCCCATCCACACAGATACTGCTGAGCCAGGCTCTGTGACTGTGACTCACAAGTGTCTGTCAAGTCTCCTGCACCTTGGCTGCGCCAGACACCTTCCAGCTACACAGAAAGCACATGTACAGCACAGTGCAACACCATAGTACCAGACAGCCCTATACAAGCTCAACCAGATGCAAGCCACCAGCTGAAATGCTCAGGGATGCTTCACATAGCTCTGTAGTGCTGCACTGCATCCTGTGATAGGCTGAGAACATTGGGGCTGTTCAGCCTGGAGAAGAAAAGCTGTGTGGAGACCTCAGAGCAGCTTCCAGTGTCTGAAGGGGGCTACGAGAATGCTGGAGAGGGACTCTTCATCAGGGACTGCAGTGATAGGACAAGGGGCAGTGGGTTCAAGCTGAAACAGGGGAAGTTCAGGTTGGATATAAGGAAGAAGTTCTTTACTGTGAGGGTGGTGAGGCACTGGCACAGGTTTCCCCACCAATTCAGGCCACCTGTATATCACTATCCTGCTGCCCACGTTTACGCAAGACACCAGCACCCCACTACTTACAAGGACCAGTTGACCAGGTTTCCAACAATGAGCAGCACCATCCTGTCCTGGGAGAGAAGACACTGGTGATCATATGAAAGCAGAAGGAAATGCACAGAGGTTTCTGCCTCAGGAATTCATGATATCATTATGTAAGGATTTGGAATCTGGCTCCTGCAAACACATGTGCACCTGGCTCTGAAGTTTGCGCTGCAGGAGCTTTTTCCAGATGGAAACTGCTCTGGCCTTTGCAAATCTGAAGAAAGCATTGCGAGGAGACTAAATATCCAAAGAAGCACAAGCCTAACACTTAAGAATCAGCCCCAGGAGGTTCTGCAAAGCCTTTGACTGTTTCCACTATTTTTCTAGCAAGATTCCTTCCCTCCCTCCATTTTACAGAAAAATTATTGCACAGAGGGAGGACATGCTTGAAAGAGGCTGCAAGGGAAGCTTTGCAATACCATCCTGCACATAGCCACAGGGCCTGTTTTCATCCATCTCATCATTAGCTAGGGAAGCCCTGGAACTGCAGCAGGCAGACATACTAGATCTGTGGAGCACGTGCATTTATGCTTACAGCTGCTTTCATTAAGGTCCTTTCCAACCCTAACTATTCTACGACTCTAGGATGCAGCTATTTCAGTCCAGCCAGCCTTACTTTATGCCTGAGTGTACCAAGTTTGCTTGCAAAACTTGGGCTGACACTTATTCAGAGATAGGGGAGTACATTCATTGAAAAACATAAACAGGATGCTCATGGATAAAGCTTCATTTGGCTTCAAGCCCTCATTGGCACCCTGTGCCAAGAAGAAAGTCATCAGTGGGACACAAGCTAGCAGCTACCATTTCTTACCTTTTCTTGCTGTCTGCCCTGAGGTGCTGTAGAAATAGCAATAGCTATTGCTTAAGCCACTGAACAAAATAGTCACTGCCCTCCCCAAAGAGGCTGCACTGCACAGAGCCTCATAGCCATCCCTTTGAATTTTGGGGAAAGCAAGGAGGGGAAGCAGGGAGCATCATCCCTCAAACAGCCACATCTCTTTCCTCTGCACATTGCCTAAAAATGAGCAATTGCTAAGAGAGGTGCCAAGGTGACAAATCACCTACCATATACATTGGTCGACTGCACCGCTGGATACAGTCTGTGTACAGCACCATCACTGCCCGTCGAAACATCCCCAAGTCTGTCAAAGAAGAGGATAAAAAGCCAGAACAGCCAGCAGAGTGAGCTCTGAAATGCCTATGGGGGAAGACACAGACACCCACTAGCTGACAACAGAGAACCCAGCCTGGGGGTGGTCAAGGTGTCAGCAGATTCATTTCTTGCCCTTTGGGAGCAGAAGGGAAGCCTCCACAGGGCATGGATGGCATGTGGCCAGAACAACAGGTAAAGCTTTGCAATCTCATCTCTGGAAGAGATGTTTGTGCAGGAAGGGGGGAAAAAAATAATCACCTTCCACGGAACAAGCTGCCAGAGCAAGGAAACATCAGGAACAGATCCCACAGCCCTGAGAGGGTCCTAGAGGGCCAGAGCAGACTCAAGACACTCCTGCTCTGAAAATCACTGCAGAAGCTTCACTGGAGAGCCATCAGTAGCAGAGGGATTGATAGACATGCATACACACACACCAACCACAAATGTGGAGCTTGAAAAGGCTCCTGCACGAAGATTGGAGCTCTCCTGTGCTGCATCACCACCTTCCTGCCAAGGAACAGGACTGGCAGTGCTGCTGGCAAACTGACTTCACTTCTCAAGAGCCCACCCCAGGTGGCACACGAGCCTGCCTCCCTACACACATCCATGCATATCTGGCTGCTACACCCCTGCTCAATCAGTTCAACAGAGAAAAAATGAGAGCTGCTGACAGTTACCTGATTCAGAGCCATCTGAGGCAGACAGGAGCAGAAAAGGAAGGAGAAATACATTTGCAAGCAGAGCACAAGAGCCAGCTTCCCCACCAAACCCTCTTCCCTCTCATCCCATGATAGGGTTTTATGTAGCTCACTGCTCTGAGCACAGTGCTAGGGAGAGCTGTAGCTGAAGGGCAGGCACCCTCAGAGCCCAGCTCTTTTGCCCCCACAGTGCAAACAGGTCCTGCTGACTCCCATGGGTATGGGAAGCAGCAGCAGAGCACTTCAGAAGATGCCAGGAGAGCATCAGATGGATAAGAGGACAGGATAACCCAGAATACAAGCACAGAACATGAGACTGTGCTCACAGACATGCTGCATAGGCAACTCATGCAGCTGAGGGCAGGAGGCACCTGCACACCCGGGAGCAAGCTGGTTCAATCATAGCACTTACCGATCTTGAAGCGACCCATGTAGTAGATCTGCGTGCTGAGAGCCAGCGAGGCCAGAACATGGATTATTGAGAAAATGACCCAAAACCAGATGTCATTTTTCCCAAACACCTGAAAGCAAAGAGCTCAGTTATCAGCAGCCTAATCCTTTCCTGTCCTATATCATTGTGGGGCATTAGACAACCTCACTGAGTGTGGAAGAGAAACCCCTAACCTTCCAACCTGAAAACAGATCTATAAATGCAAAACAAAGTTTAGAGAAGCAAGAGGAGCTCAGTATTCTGGAGAGGAGACCATTCTTTCTAAACACCCCTTCAGTGAAAAACAGCAGCTGGTCCAGGGAGCAGAAATGGAGGGACCCTCAGGCCAGGGAAGTTTTTTCTGCTGAGCTGGAAAGGAGCTGGATTTCTACAGAGGCTGTCAGGGAACCAAACATTAACAACTGCACTGCAGTAGACCAAAAGGCACAAAACTGCCCTGCAGGCAATTGCTCCACACTTTCACTTTAAGATCTGGAAGTGAATTACAAATGCATGTTAATGCTATATTAAAACCTTAGTTTTTCATTATACATTAAGGAGTCCAGAAACTCGGGTCTGCCATCAGGCTCTCACCACACACTCCCCTGGGGCACAGCACTCACCTGAACTTTGGTGGGAGAATCAAGCAGAAAAGCCACCTCTATATCAACAAAGCAAGGGAAACATGCAGCTTACAAGCTCCACTGAGCAGCTTAAAAGTATCCCACAAGAGAAGATAATAATCCCATAATAAAACCCCAGTGTTTTGAACCTGGATGTACAGATCTACCAGAGCTACCAAGAGATTCTTAGAAGGTCTCAGGTTCACTAGGTGCTCCTGCATGCCTTATTGGACAGTCTCCTATTCAGAGGCCTATGCAGAATCAATTGATACTCTGCTTTACGTGTGGTAGTAAGGGGCTGACAGCCCACTGGGATCTAGCTGCTGCTTCAGAGCACCTGAATGGAAGTAAGTCCTTAAAAAGAAGGGAAGCAGAGACCTCCAAGGTAAAGCACAGGTTGGGGATTCATGCAGGCCCAGCTCAGTAATTGCAATGCTATGAGCAAATGGGCAAAGCCCTGTACAAATCTGACCTGTCTGTGACTACTGGTGCACAAGAGCAATTCTAGTGACTCCTTTTGCTCCAGTGCCTTCTACAAGCAGGTCCAAGCCAGAAACTTGCCTGGGAGCCCGCAGGCTGTTATTGCAGCCCTGCACTTCCCCAAAAATAGGAAAGCCAACTGCAGGAGTTGTGCCCAGAAAACTCAACGTTTTCCAAAGGGCAGAAAGAGGCACAAGCAATTTGGTAGGGCTTCTCCTGGAAGCTCAGCCAGCCTCAGCCTCCTCCTCCAAGTTGAGCCACCATGCAGGAGACCAGCTGCATGCTTGGACACACACACACACTGGATGCACAAATTTTTCCTCTTAAGAAGGAAGGCACGTGGTGGTCAAAGCCCAAAAAGGAGCCCAACTAGAGAAAACTGCTCTGCTCTTCCCCTCCCTGCAAGCCCAGGGGAAGGAAGAAGGAAAACCCAGTGTACCAGAAGTTCAAATGCTAGCAGCTGCTTAACACGCTCTTATCGTACTCTGCTGCTCTCCCCAGTCATTTGCCCACTTAAGCACATCATCTCCTTCCCACAGAAGCAGGTAGGTAAGAATGACCCATACCACTCCAAGGACGGCCAGACAGATCACCACAGCAAATGAGGCATAGGCAGAGTAGGCACTGGCATTGATGTCTGGGTGGCGAGTCTGGTAGAGCTTCAGCATGCACAGTCCTGCGATCATGTACATGAAAGAGGTGTCTATGGAGGGAGCACAACAGGAACAGTTAAAACAGGTACTGCCAGTAGTACATTTTCCTGTGTTCAGATGGAGTTTCCTGTGTTTTAATCTGTGGCCATTGCTTCTTGTTCTGCCACTGGGTACTACTAAGAAGAATCTGTCTCACTCATCTTCATTCTAATTGGGTATTTATGCACATAGACAAAAACCAGCCTCAGTCTTCTCTTCCTCAGGAAGCCAAAGGAGCCCACAGAGGAAATGTTCCACAGAGATGGCAAACAGATGCTTCCTAGGCTTGAGCACTTTGCCACTCAAGCTGTTTGCTTACTGTGTTCAAACACTGAGCTGCAAAAGGGAGATCTTGCCAGCAGTGCACTACCAGAGTCCCAGGGTCTGGAGAGGAGCCTGAAATGTGTTAGTCCCCAGTATCCAAAGCCAAAGCCTCACTGCCTCCTGACTGAGCCCTGGAACAGGCAGTCTCCAAGGAAGTTTGCAAAGGTAGAGGGGTGTGAAAAATGAGCAACTCAGCAGAAGACAAAGCATGCTAAATCCTACCTCCAGCTCAAACGCTTGAAGGAAATTCAGCTTACCAAACTGGAAATTGGAGTAATTAGGGCAGACGTGATAACAGGCACTGAGCACCCCTTCCATCATCAGAGCAATGCCCATAGCATAGAAGAGACCAAAATGCTTTGGGATCCCATAGTCCTGGAAGAGAGCAGAGCTGTATAGCAAGTACCCTCACTGTTCTGATGTCAAGCAAGCTTCCACTCTCCCTCACTCCACCCCTTCTAAACCCTACACACATCCTTCAGTCACCAGTGCAGCACAGAGACCTCTACTCATCTCCTTGTCTTTGCAAGCCCAGGCTGGATCACTAAGGCAGTATGGACATACTGTAAGCAGCCAAGTACTGGGGTGTGCAAGAATGTAAGCATCCCACTGAGACCCTTTTCCAGCGTTGGAAAAAACAGGAGGATTCAATTCTCCAGCAAGGAAGGCAGAGGGAAACCCACTGTGTATCACTCTGCTTTGCAAGCTCTCCCTGTCTTTTCTCCCTCCACTCAGCTCCATGCAGCCGTGCTTCCTACCAGCGTATAGACATCTTTCATCTCCATGGCGCGACGGTGGAGAATGTCCCTGCGCAACACAATGAGGAGGAACAGAAAGCCCAGCAGCATGTGGCCCACATTGCTGAGGATGTTGTTGAAGGCACTGCAGGGAAAAAGAAGGTTTAAGACAAAGGCAGCACAGCAGCAGGAAGCTGAACTCTGGGCCCTGATAAGCTGAATCCATTTTGCTCCCCCCCTCCCATCCTCCACCTCAGCAGCTACCAAACACCTGCCAGTTTTACACCCTGGATTGCAACTTTAGGTTGAGCAGTTCACTTGCAGAGAGAGTGTTAAATGCACTGGGGCAAGATCCCAACTCTGAGCTGTCTTTGCACTCCCACAGTAGTTCAGAGGAACACTGCACGGTAAGGTCTGATCTGAACTTCTTTGCTGCTCACTGGATACAAATGAAGGTGTCCGGAAGAGCATGGGAGCACCTCTCTGCTGTGCCATAGGTTTGATAGGAGAACCCACATGCCATTTGATCCTGGATGCATGTGTCTCACTGCAACAGAAAGCCACTACTGAGCAAAAGAGAAAGCTCAGAGCCCTAAACTCTCAGTGGTCTAAACACTCTTATTATGAACCTGGCAAGGATAATATCCTGACCTGGGCTCAGCACAAACTCTCAGGAGGCACAAGACAATAATGCAGTGACCACAGGGCTCACTCACCTCAGCACCCCAAGGGGATGAGCACACAGAAAGTTGTAGTAGCAGATGTCCTGATTGCCTGTCACATTCACTACCTGGACAAAGAGGAGGTGCAAGACCCAGTATTAGCATATCCTCCTTGTTCTGTGGGGTTTGCTTCATCCAAACACAGCATGTAACACAAGGTGTACCAGGACACAGCCTAGCTCTAACACTGGTGCAGTGGGGTACCGACATCTGCAGTGAAGCTTTTTGTGGGTGGACAATATTACAGAGGGGCTGGACTACATGACCTTTGAAGGTCCCTTCCAATCCAAACTGTTCTGTGATTCATAGAATCATAGAATGGTTAGCATTGGAAAGGACCTTAAAATCATCCAGTCCCAACCCCCTGCCATGGGCAGGGACACTTCACACTAGACCATGTCACCCAAGGCTCTGTTCAACCTGGCCTTGAACACTGCCAGGGATGGAGCACTTATCACTTCTCTCAGCACCCTGTGCCAGCCAGTGCCTCACCACCCTCACAGTAAGCAACTTCTTTCTTATATCTAATCTGAACTTTTCCTGTTCTAGTTTAAACCCATCACCCCTTGTCCTGTCGCTGTAGTCCCTGATGAAGAGTCCCTCTCCAGAACCCTTGTAGCCCCCTTCAGACACTGGAAGCTGCTCTGAGGTCTCCAGGCAGCTTACCTTCTCCAGGCTGAACAGCCCCAAGTTTCTCAGCCTGTCTTCATACAATAAGATCTTGCCACAGGCCACAAACCTGACAATGGACTTCAGAGGAAACACATTTTGTGCTCTCAACCCCACCACTAAAATAGATCTGCTTGCAGATACCTGAATAACAGCAGGATAGCAAGGGTGAGGAGAAAAGAAATCGCTCATATCATAGCAAACCCTACTTGCTTTCAGTTGTCTTTTAGATGTAACAGCAGATTCCTCCTGCCTTTAAAATGAAATAGGACCCAAATGAGACATCAGATGAGCAGGAAAGCCAGCTACACTCCCACTTCCCAAGCAAAACTAGCAGAACTGCAAGCTTGGAAAGCCATGCTACACTTGACACAGAGCAGAGAGAGCAGCTAAGGTAAGCTCCTCAGCCTAGCAGGATTCCCAGGTTTCACTGTGACTGCCACCCTTACACCATGCAACCACAGAGCAAGTTAAAGGACAAGAGGATCCAAACAAGGGGGACAGACAGAACCCAACTCACCGTCTGGTAAGTGATGACAAGTTGGATGACTGGCAGGGCATAAAACACTGCAATGGTGATGATGTTCCTGCAGAAAAGAGACAGTAGCAGCAGCTACATACACCAAAACAATTGGTGCACACCCAGGACAGATCCCCACAGTGTTTGTAGAGGAAGGTGTACACTTTGATGCCTAAGGGCACAGACCCTGCAAGATTTATACTTCTGGGTATGATCTTCTGAAGCAGGAGATTAAACAAACGTGAGGCAAATGCTAAAGGCACAAGAAAAAGCAGCATGTGGACCACAAACTCACATGTTTGAGAGCCAATTTCTCCCCTCCCCCAGTATGTTCCAGCACACTGGTTGTTACCACACTTTAAAGCAATTATGCAAATGAGAATCCATTGCCAGGATCACATGTGCACTGGTCCACAAATATCCTTATTTGAGGTATGTGGATCTGCAGTTACTGGTTGGAACAGGGTCAGAACGTGTAGCAGGGTGGTTCAAGGAATACCATCATGTCTAAAGTGTTGGTCAGAAGGGCATGTGGGCAGACTTCACAACCAGAGACTGGTTCCAGAGCTTGGGCCTTATCAGTTTGTCTTCTTCTTACCAGAAATAGATTTTGTATTTTTTGCTGACAATCCTTCGGTCCTTCCTGGACAGGTCTGACAGATAGAGGAACACCTAAAATGTTAGTGGGAAGCAAAAGATAGAACAGAAAAGAACTAATAAAGACTACAGAAGTATTGGGACAACATGCAGCTTGGTGTTATCTGGACCATTTTTTAAACAGTAAGCTCATTGTGTCCTTTGATCCTATGGGGAATGAGTTCTGCAAAACTCTCTGACCTCCAGGAATGGCTCTGACCACATGGGTTAACAAAAGAAGGCATTTTGAGAACTGCTAGCTTAAAGCTCATCTGCATATCCACTGTAGCCACACTGCTCATACCAGGTAAAGACCCACTATTGCATATTATTTTCTCCCTATGTTCTTGCACCTCCTTGGACTTTCTGGGACACTCTGTGCTTCTTCCTCCTTTCTCAATAGTTCCCAATACATTCTGATTTTCCACACTAAATTGCTCATTTCAGCAACACACTCAGTACAGCATGAAAACTTTCTAGACTCTGACAAACCCCACTAAACAGCACATTCAGCTTTATTAAATTAGATCCACCTAAAAGAGAGAATCTGAAACTGAAGTGACTAGTGCTGGTCCTGGCACAGGTGTGTCCATGGCCCAGCATCACGGCCACAACTGACGTGCCAGCCGTACCTTAGTGCGGATGATGTTCTTATCACTTTCAATCTCTGGCATGGTGTCAAAGTCACTCTCCTCCTCCACAGAGCTGTCTGTGTCAGAGCCAGCCCGCGGCCTGCCCTCTGGGGAAGAAAACCGTCGTCCACCACTGGAGCTTGACTCATCTGGAGCAGAGTGAGGAGAAGGAAACCGGCAGGGTAAAGGCTAAATCCCTCTATGCATAGCAAGAAGAAAGCTGCCAAGCTCCCAGCCAGCCCATTGCTCATCCTCACATGAGCAGAACAGAAGTTTCTTCTTCATTTCCCAAATGCTTTTAAAGCGTTTCCTTGGGAACTGGGGAAGGGGGACAGGATGGTGCTGAAGCCCTCTATTCCAGGACTTAAATCCTCCTGAATTTTTCCAAAACCCCATGAAGTATCAGTTCTGTGTTTCTTTGTCAAGCATTCCGAGATATCACACCTTCACAGTCTAATAACTGGATGACATCTGGAGTATCAGGGCTGACTTTATACCACAGTGAACAAATGCATCCTGAGCAAGGACCAAAAATTACACCGATATGAGCAGCTGCCTCATGCTGCCTTGGACCTGCACCACCTCACCCTGCAACCTGGGTCCCCAGGCTGTCAAATTCAAGGATTAAGCTCAGAAGCCCACAACACTGAGCTATTCAATACCAATCCCTCCACAGGAGGGAAAACTGCTAAGGACTGAGAAATACTCTGGCAAAGGAAGGCACTGCCTATCATCTCTGATCAACAGGACCACTGAGAGGTTTTCTTCCTCCTCTGCTACAAGGGAATAGTTCATCTGTGGACAGAATGACATTATTTCTCCTCTAATGAAATCACAATAAGCTGTGATTCTGTCTTGCCTTGCAGCACACACCAACACTTATCAGGTGACTGAGATGAACGTTTCCAGTGACAGAACCTCTCTGGGCACCTCTTCCAGAGATGTGTCACCTTTCTGATGTAGATGTTTTGCCCTAAAGTGCAACCTGAACTTCCCAAGCTGCTATTTATTTTTGTTTTCCCAAGTAGTTGCAAGCTGCTCCTAAAGCAGTTTGCTGGTTTACTCCTTTCTGGCTTTAAAGCACCTTAAAGTTTCTTCTGCTCCAAACAGAACCCTCCCCATGTTCTCAGTTCTGGAAGATACTGTACCAATAGCACCATAGCTGCTTCCCTCAGGGGTGCTGGCTGTGATGGGTTGTGAAGGCGTCATGATCCCAGATCCTGCCATGGAAGCAGACCCAAAAGGGACAATTAGTTTCACATCAATGCTTCGAATCGTATCTTTGAGGTGAATATGAACAGCTTGAAGAGCTGGAGGGCTTGGGAAATTTCTCCAAACAAGTGGCAGTCTCCCTCTAGGGGCATACTGTGCAAAAGGGAAACCTCTGCTTTGCAATGAGAAGCAAACCCATCTCTTTCAGCCTCCCCACAGGCTGCCAGCTCGACTCACAGAAGTACAGGCCTCCCTCCAGCTCCCTGTAGGGATCACATTATGGGGCTGTAAGACATAGCAAATTCTAGAGCAAGTCTCCCAGTACTCAGAGCACCCTTCTGTATTTCTAATTCTTCTCCTTCCCCACCTCATGCATTTGTCCATTCAAGTTCAAATTACTGCTTTCCTTCGACGCATTGACTGCACTGCTTGGGCTGTAGAGAGCTGGTCTCCATTTCAGCTTCTCTACCCTCCTGCCCCATCTCTCTGATTAGACAGTGAACAGCCCTGAGGAGCATCAGAAGCGGACAACATGGCACGGACTGAGAACAGAAGGAAGGCTCTGGCACACTGCAGTTCCCCATGTGACACCCCTTCAGCCCTGAGCTGGGATTAGCAGGATGCCATTGTAGGTTGACACAGGAGCAAGAGCCACCTTCTACTCATCACCCACTGTGCAACCCTCCCTCTCTCATGGCAGTTTTTCCTGTTGCTTTAAAGTCACTTGGAAATCCAGATCACTAGGAAGAGGCTGAAAGAAGCATTACCCCATGTTCATGGCACCATGCACAATTCCTGCTCCTGTCCATTCTACCCCATAGGAATGCTTCCTCCTAATTTGAGACCAGGCTTTGCCCTCTCAAGTGACCTGTCAACCTTCTCTCCCAAGTCACCAAGGAAAGATTTAAATCTGGACAAAGCAGGAATGCCAGGGGGAAGTGGTGCTCTGCCCCATCTCTAACAGCTGCTCTGGACCCAGCTCAGCCACTAATTTCAGTCCCACCTCACAGTGTGCAAGTGAGTCAGCAAAGTAAATGTACCACACTAGGTGTGGTTCCTCCACCTACTGCCTCTACCAGGTAGTGATGATGTGGAATGGGAGGCATGCCATGAGCTTAGATAAAATTTAACCGTAGAAGCTGGGCATAAGGTGGGTGCAAAGGAGCTTTTGCATATGTCCCTTTGCATAAGGAGCAAAGGGGCATATGTTGTTACAGGATATTTGAAAACAAAGGGCAGAGACAGATTGCTCAGCACCTCCATCCACACGTTCTTGGTTGGAGAGGGGAAAGGAAAGGGGAGCAATGAAGGTAACAAGATCAGGGGTACTTTAGAGGAAGAGAAATTCCAGTGGGTGGGAAGAGAAAAAAAAAACAACAAAGCAAAACAAAAGAAAAAAAAAAACCACAAGAGAGAAAGCCAGCATGCCCTTGGTGATGTGGAGGACAGGGGGATGCTAGTTACCATTTTATAGGCATCAGTCAGATACACACCCTGCAGAGACACAATAGAGAAAGCAACAGCATGTGGGTAGGACACAGCTCCTCCCCAGAGGAGACGTGGCTCTGATGTGCAGTGCCAAGCATGTGAAGGTGTCAGAGTACAAGGAACAGGACAGGTCACAGAAGGAGAGATACCTCTGGGAGGAGCTGTGAAGGAACTGTGCTCCTCTGCCCTGTCACAGGGCTGGTATTCAGGACTCTTCCCTGCCCTGGAACCCTCCAGATCTGTGCTGAGCACAGAGTTTGTGCCCTGCAGCTTCTGGAGGGACTTCCCAACCACCAGAATTTAACTTGCACCTCTCTCCGGGGCAGCTTGGAAAGCAGCTTCTGAGCTGCCTTCAGCACAGGAACCCTCAGCTCCAGCACCAGCAGCACTCCTTGAGGCTCCTGGTCTCAGGCAGCTGAGGCTGTGCCTCCTTGCCTTAGACAGTGATCCCTTGTCACCACCCTGGAGCTCTTTCATAGCCTTCAGCCTCTGCCAGGTCCTTTTGGCTTTCCCAAACTCCCGACACACAGGCCCTTCCCATTTTTCCAGTGGCTTAAGACCTACTGTTGTCTCACAGCAGGATCCATCCCAAATGACTTAAAATTAGACTATTTTTAAGAACATCTTTTACAGTCCCCTGCTCATTTGGTTGTGAAGAAAACCTTTACACACATTCCACATACAGGGATGAATATGTGGATCTCAGTGGCTGAAGAATCCATATATACTCAGGTCCTCAGCAGAAACATTAATCTAAGCAATGCCAGGTCAGAGTGAAGCTCCACTGCTGATCTTTTAAGTACAGCTCAGTTATAATCATATGCTTATCTGGTGGCATGCAGACCAGAGAGACTGAAGGAGCTGAGGATTAAAGAAGGGAACACACCAAGAACTTTTCGATGCTGCCAAAAAACAACATCTTCCCTTTCTCCAGGAGGAGAGTACAAATGACAATGTCCTTAACACCACCAGTGCTTTGAACTATTCTGCAGGCACTAAATATTTAAACAGCCTCCAACACTGCTCCGAAAAGCAGGAACTCCCAGTGCCCCTCCTCACATGATGAAAATTTCCATCTTCCACTGGTACCCTGTCAGCTGCAGCTATGTTTGTATAAAGCAGAAATCTGCAGCATGTTGAAAGGTGGGTGCAGGATAAAGTAAACTGAATCCAATACCACAAGTAAATACACAAGCAGCACAACCAAACTGTATCAGTCATTCATTCACTTGTTAAAATATTTTCCAGTTAAAAACAAACTAAAATATAAATTAAATTTAAAAAATCAGAGACCCTATGTTTAAAGCAGGGAGATGAAATCTTAAAACATAAGAGCTGGCTACTTCAGAGTGCCCTGCTTAGAAATGAACAGACCTGGCATCAAGAACATTAGTTGATAACAAGATCTAGCCAAGGTTTACCCTTCATCTACCCCTCTAAAAGCCAGCTCCTTGGGGTACGGGGTCAGGACCAGGTTCAGGGGAGCCTGCTTCAGGCACCCTTGTGAGGGCAGAGAGGAAGCTCTAACATCTTTTATTAGCACCAGGAACTACTTGGTATGTGTACAGGGAAAAAAGCTAGAAGGGACAGAATGTACTTGTTGTGCTATTCATTTAAAAGTTGTCACAGAGGAAAGAAAAACCTTACCATCCTCAGGACACAGTCTCCCAGCTGAAGCCTTCCTCTGAACCCTGAAAAGGAACACACAGCACTCATGAGATAGCCAACAAAGCCCATCACCTGCCAGCCATATCTAGGACGCCAATAGGTAAATATGGTACAACCTCTACAAAACAAACCAACCCAATATAGATAAACCATAAAAGAAACAAAAGCAATAAAAAAGGAAAACAGTTTGGACCAGCCATGGTTCAGCCATGACTGCCTGCTACCGACCTCTCCCATTTCCAAAGCAACAGAAGGGATTCTACCGTCTCAACTATCCAGCAGGACAACCAGTTACATGACCATCCCATCCTACACTGCTCAGCATGGTGGGAGAGATTTTATTTCCCCCTCCTCCCCCTTTTTTTTTTTCCCTAGAACAACCTGTCATGGTACCTGTGCCCAAGTTCACTTCAGACACAGATATTCTCCTCAACACAAGCCCAGGCACCAAAGTCTGGGGCAGGGGACACAGGTCAGGAAGGAAACCAGCACTCTCAGGACTCCAGGGCCCTATTTGAGTCACTGCCACGTATTGCAGTACTCAGTCCAGCACTGTGAAGTACCTTTTCTCCACAGTGCTCTGGCACACTGTATCACACTGCCATGATCCCCATCTGGCTCATGGTCAGTAGGTGCCTATACTGAGTAGTCATGGACTTCTTTCACTGCTCTGTTCAGATGCTTGCTGCCCCACTGGCCCCAAATGTACTGCAGGGTGAGGCATCTCCGAGATGAAAGGTTGCTCTTGTAAAACCCCTCAGCTCACCTGATGTAGTGCACAAAAGCAACAACCACTGAGCCCAGGTAAAAGGAGAGGAAACTCAGGAAGCTGAAGAACATGGCCTGGACATAAACAGACTCTGAGGAAGGAGACAGCGTTATCAGTCAATGCAGAGCAGAGACAGCTCCTCACAGAGCCAGAGCTCCCATCCTGCTCTTCCCACCACCACCTGGTGGCAACACCCAACTCAAAACAGCCCCCCAAAGCCCATCTGCTTTCCTCAAGAGGAATTGCCACAACCTGTTGCAAGGTCTCCCCCCATTTCTTCACCCCAGCACTAGCTGGTCTGCCCATGAGACCACCCTGTGCCACACAGCACCTCCTGGAAGGGATCAGGGCTGCAGCTGGGTTTTGACTCCTTTGCTAGTGCTTTCTTCACCATCCCATCAGAGGGCTGCCAGCCCAGCCATACCCTTCTACACAGAAGGGCCAAGTAAAGTTGCATTGCTCTGCCCAAAGGCACTGACTTTTAACAGAGGGCACAATCGTCACTTGAAGGTTCTTTGTCCGCTGCAGGTTCCAGGTACGGTTGACGTTCCCTGTGAGAGGCAAAGTGTACAGCAAATATAAAACCAAACATTAAATCCCTGGCTCTGATCTTGGTTCTCTGCACTTGCAAAAAACACCAGCATCTGGCTTTTCACTATCACCTCTGTGTGGTTTTGCTCTAAACCTTACTCAGACGTATCAACACACAGCCTTTACTTTCCCTTCCTCCCTATCCACAGCCTGGTTTTCAGATGAGAAATCCGTCCTTGACCCTTCCATACACTCTTCAGGTCTGAATGCCTGAATCCAAAGAGCATCTTATCTCCTATTCAACTAGTCCCCAGAGGGCACTTTCTCCCACTACAGGTACTGTGACACCATTTTTCTTTTGGCCAAAGCTCTGCTGGCAAATCATTTCTGTGCAGGTTGCCACACTCGTGACTGGCTCCGTTTCAGCAGGGCTCAGCACACCCTGCCAGTACAACTCTACCTGATCCTAAAACTACCAGCAAAGACACCCAGAAGGTGCCAACTCTTGTTTTAAGGGTGCAATTGGGAGATAGGTAGAAGGAAGGGGCCGTAGAGGGAGCCCAGTATATTTATTGGTTGCAGTCTAGCTTCTCATACAGGAGGAAGCCATCTGGCTTTGAGGATACAAATGTCCCCACTCCAGCTACAGCCACTACATTAGTGGTGAAGGCTTTGCTTTTACCACTGCACAGGAAGTGAACACAGTGTTTTCTGGTTGGGAAAGGCAATAGATTTGTTGACTTGTTCTACTGCCTTTCCCAACCAGAGAGACTTTAAAAGTATCTGTGAAATTATCATCCTAAAATGACTAACTTTTCCAAAAAGCTGTAAACAGCATTCCCTGGCCATCTCCCAAGACTCCAGTGACTCTTCTGACAAGCGCATAACCCTAGTAAGCCAGGCACTGTACCAGCCAGCCACCTCCTGTATTGGTCAAGACTTGTAACCTATCCAACAATATCAAGTTTATACTTCACTCTTCCTCACAGGTATGTGGAAGAGACAGAGCTATAAGACCAACCTGTGTCCTCCCACAATAAGGTCCCAAAGGACTCCTGCTGCTCCAACATCAACCAAATCCACCCCCTAGCACAACTTACCGTGAGCAGAAGAAGGCACAGAACCCCCACAGGCATAATCCTCTGGCTTGATGACGAATACAACGAAGAACTGCTCACCTGGAAAATCTTTTCTCTGCACAGAAGGATAGAAGAGGACAGACTCCCTAAGATGTGAAGAAGCCTCTCCCTCCAATGCAAAGCAGAGGCAGTGCTCCAAGAGGCCAGAAATCAGGTTTTAGTCACTAGACAGGCAGCAGCCTTCCAGAGATCTGCCTGTTCTGCACAGAGCTTGGCTTCTGGGGGTGTTCCTCTCCTCCTTGCTGACAATAAGCTGACTGAGTTCAACACTATGCAGTACAGCAGTGCCCCAGTACAAGCAAGCTAATACTTTTACCTAAGCTTTGCTTATTACGAAGGCTCTACGACCACCACTCAGTGGTAGAAGAGCCAGGTTCAAAGAGAAGGCACCTGGCTGCAGCCACTCTGATCTAGAACCTCAGTACCTAAAGCACAACACACCTACCTAAGCAAACATAAGCAAGGTTTTGTAGTAAAAGGTAATATCACTTCTTCCACTTAGATCAGCCGACCTAAAAAGCAAAAGCTCACAGCACACCAGCATCAAAAGCAAGCTAGGAATGCATAGGACAAGCCAGTAAAACAGACAAACAAAACCAAACCCAAAAATAACCCAAAACAACACTGGGACAAAAATCAGCATCTTACCTGCACCGTTATGGCTGCCTGCTTAGTCATAGACTGGTAAACACCATTGAACTCCACATTATGGTCCAGGTCATATACTGGGCACTAAAACAGACACAACTAAGGGTTAAACCAGGGGCAGAATCTGAACTAATTTCACAGGAAGCCTGCAGGAGAACAGACAATGCAGAACAGCAGAAAAAAGGCCCTGCTCAGGATAACAAGGGGAACAGAACAACCAGGACCCATTCAGAAGTGAGGAAAGCTGCTCTGAAGTCACCAGTTGTGGCCTGCACTTACTGATCTTGGCATTATCACAAGAGGGCTGCAGTTTAATCCTAGAAGCATTCAGCCAGATTGATCACTCCATCATTCCCACAGGGCAGTGCATATGCTCAGCTGTACACTGGTTGTGTCATGCTTTGCAGTCTGTACTATATGCCAAGTGCTTGCCCTCATTTTACTTTTTCCCACTATTCTTAATATCTAGTAGGTTGAAAATCACCTGTCAGTCTCCACTCCTGCCCTTCTACCATTCAAACACAAGGATGTGGGCAGGAGTTGATGTTACTCATTCCTCTCCTCACCACAGGTATTAAAGGTGACTGCCAGGATTTCAGAGCCAGCAGGCAAGGCTGCTGCACCTCTGTGCAGCACCATGCATCTCTGTCACCATCGTGCTGCTTCCACAGTGCAGGTTCTTGCATCATTCAGGGAGCTGGGAAAGGAGGATAAATATGGGGCTATTCCCAGCTACAAGCAACAGCCAACTTCTACGACAGGGAACAGCTGATCTCCCCTTCCCACAAAAAGGGATGAGTAACTGCATAGAGAGGAAATAGAATGGGAAAGGAGGAGACACCTGTCTGGAAGTCAGAAGCTCTCCATGCTGCCCTGAGCCAGGAGAAGGCTCCATCAAGGGAACAGCACTGTCCTCCCTCAGCCACCAGCATTCCATCCAACACCACTCCACAGAGACAAAGACCCATATCACAGTGCAGCAAGATATTAAACCTTACAAGGAGAACATAACAAATGCCCTGTGTACAGGCTGGAGACAAACAGCTTGTTCATCTGTTTACAATTATTATCTGGGTATAAGCAGCCCTGTCTTCGCCTCCTTCCCACAGTTTCTGTTCCTCTTTCAGGGAACCTCTCTTCACCACCACCACCACACTAGGGCAAAGCCCTAGTGAAAAAGGCCTAGAAAAGACCAGGTCTTTTCTCTTTGTTGGAGCAGAGCCCCCTTCACAGCAGGACACAATGCTCCAGCAGGCAACTCCTTACTCTTCTCTGCTCAGGCTTACCACAATGTCCTGGACGGAGACAACGGAGCATGGATAGACGGCATCAGACACCACTTTAATGATGACTGAATCGACATCCTGAGGAAATCTGTACAGAAAATACTGAGGAGAAAGCAGAATGCTGAGAGTTACGGTCCAGAAATCCCCCTTGCCAGGAGCTTCATAGCCTCCCTAAGGTACCTCTGCACAGCCAAAGCTGGGCTTTGGGCTTGGATGTGAAGGCCTCTCACAAAAATTCAGATTTCAAATAATAGGACCTTATGCTACAGAAGAGCGGATTAAATACGTACAGACAACTCCCCCCCTTGCACAGCACGCTGTTAGACACACACACCTTGAACATGCAAGATACAGCACAGCTTCGGCTCCCCTTAAGCTTTTTTCTACCTGATGAAGTTAAAGTGACTTCATTTTATACCCTACTCCATTTTATGTTGCCATGAACAATTTCCAGATGTTTCCATACTGCTAGCTGTACTTTATGAGGAACATATCATAAGAGTTTCTCTCAGATGAATTGCCTCAAAAAGAGACTGGGAGAAATATTAGGTCAAATGCTTGAAAGTCTGTCAAGTGTTTCATAAATAAGTGCCTGATATTTGTTGTAGGATTTAGGATTTTTGGGTTTGAGGGCAAAGGGTAATGGGGGTTTTCTCTTACCAGTTCAGCTTTAAAAATAATTCAGCTATAGCTCTGAAAAACCTGGGAGATGCTAACACCTGCCAATATTCCTACTTTTCCTCTGGGGGCAAGGAATGGTGAGGTTTGTGCTCCCATACTTTCAGCAGGCCCACAGGACAGTCTGTAGCGTCAGGAAATACCCTTCCTTGTCCTAGCAAGGGTCTTTTCAGATCTGGGCAAAAGATGTCCCAGGAAATAGCGTTATTTGCATCTTCTTCCATTAAAAGTTTGAGGTCCTACACCAACTGGCTGCTGAAGGAGGAGGGTGTTTTGTGCCAGCAGGCAGGCTTGTCACAAGGGCTCCCATCAACCTACCTGAAGCCCAGATGCGGCTGCACAGGCTCGCAACCACAGTTTCCACAAGGGGCTGATGGGCACCTCACCCCAGAGTTTACCCTTAGGAAGTTTTAGGTCCTTGAAGGAGTCACCCATGAGGACTTCTCTATCATCATCTTTTTAAGCCACGCTTATACCAGAGTACAGAATTAACATAAGGGGCATTGACACCTACAGTTTTCTGCTTCATAGGCTGTGTGTGGTATAAGCACATTCAGGCAATACTCCTGACCTATACAATCACTTCTAATTTCTCCTTCTGCCCTAAGGCATGAACTGAGTTCCAGACAACAACTCCTTCAGTTGTCCTTCAGTTTTTTTCCAGTCTTAGGGCTATTCCAACACCCATATAGTTTTTGAATTGCCTTTTTTCCCCCTGAAAACTACTTAATACTTTGATATACAAAAGCCTCAGCACTATAGGAATGAAGAAGCACCTTCTGCTCTTTAACATCTGGTCTGTAATTAAAGTCATCAATCTCATATTATTAATTGTGATAAATAACAGACCAAACTCACAAAGTTAATTCCAGGCCACATCCTAAAGACTCAACGTTCAAATTACAAGATCCTAAGTAACAAGGGTTTATAAAGAGTCACCACCATTTCCTATTGCTTCTATAATGTAAAATACTGCATGTAACTGCAAACCAGCTTAAGACATTTGACAGCAAAAAAGATTAGCTGGAATGCCTGGTAATAGGAAACCTAAAATTAAGTGGTGTTACTAACAGTGATAGCACAAACAGAACTGGGGTACCAGACAGCCTGAGTAAATTACATACTTCCCCAGTTCTAAGAGCTCCTGTATCACTATAGTTACTGCCAACAGCATTTTCATTCAAGAGAGGACTTGTAGTATCTGCAGGGCTCTAAACAGAGCTGCTCAGCTAGATGTGCTGAACATGTGTGCACTCTTCTGAAGTAATAATGAGGCATTTAGTTTAGCACCTCCAAAGTCACCTTGCTGCCATGAGCAAGGAACAGCAGTCTGAGTTCTGCTGTATCATTAGCTTATTTATTTTTCTCCAGTAAAGACTGCGTCTTGGCAAGTCACACTTAGGCAATTGAACCAGCAATGGCTGGAACAAGATACTGGTGCACACCATCTCCTTTCCCATTAAGTGTAGCAGTCCAATGGCCTCTGGCCTTCTGTACATTTCTGGAATTTCCTGAACTACAGACACTGCTCATTTGCTCTGGTCATGGTTTTTTGGTTTACTTAACTGCTTTGCAAGAGGACCAAACCATGCCCCTAGAGGGGCTAAAGCACTGTTACCTCTTTACTATATCCACAGAAAATTCAAGAGGAAGGAAGTTTCCCTGCATCCTAAGAGAAATTACCTAGTCATGTAAGGTTTTTGCTATCTCTAACAAAGGACTGCATCAACCATTTGGATGTGGTAAGACACACAGTACACCTCCTTACCTGGGGTTGAGATGGGCTGGCAGTGAAGTTAAAGGCTTTGTTGGTCCTACAAAAGAAATGCCAGCATGTTGAAGTCTAAAACTTTCAGAGCTGGAACTCAAAAAAATACCTTTAGATTAAGCAAAATAAAACATAATCTCCTTTTGTTGTTCTTAGAAGGAAAAAGGGAAGAGTCACAGCAGATTAACCAAATCCCTATGGAACAGATACATGAAGAAATTACATTTGTGTTCTCACATCCCAGCTTACTCAAGTTGGAAGTTCTCAAGCCTGGTGACTAGGAGCTCATACGCAATATTAAACGGTGCCATGGAAGCAACGTCCACAAATATGATCTGGTCAGCGGATCCTGTCTCAGGTGTTGGCTCAGAAGGACAGAGGGTACGACTCACTTCTTGGTAATTGTAGGTCCTCTGATACCTACAACAGCCAGGGGAAGGAAGGAAGGGGAAATTGGATGGAAAAAGAGAGAGAAAGCAGTTAAAAAGTTCCTTGGCAGTTCCAAGAATGACATAATCCTCTGCTTGCATAACTGAAATACTAATCTGAAAGACCAAGATCATCGAGCCTTTTATTTAGAGCTCAAACTCCACCTCTGTTGCATCTTGTGGTTTGCATCAGGGAGTAGCCATCCCCAACATTTCACTTCCCTCAAGGCTGCCTGCTCCATCTGCAGATCTAGCACATCTGCCATTTGCTGGAGGTAGAGAGAGCAATGGCAGCCCAGGACAGCCATCAGGCAAAAGACTGCAGGGTATCTGCTGCCAGGCACCAGCATTTCAGTGGCAGGATGAAATTTCCCACCTCAGGTGGTCTAAGATGCTTGCAACGTCTCAGTACTTGCAGCCTGATGGGCTTTGAGATTGCTGAAGATACACATCAGCATCACTTTCACAAAGAAAATATTCCCAAAACAACCACCAGCAGCCATAATAGACTCAGCTTAGATGTACCTGGTGTGAGAAACAGAGGAGAGCTCTTATTGCCCAAACGCACTGTAACACAGCAGTTAGGGTGCTCTTCTGAGAGCTTGCTCCAAACCTGAGCACAAGAACTGCTTGCACATACCGTAAGCAACTGTGGAAGTGACAACAGTGCTGTGTGTTAGATTCACTGACTAGCAATACAGGCAGATCCCCGGCAGACAGATATGAGAAACCAAGCAGGCTGCCAACTAAGAGGTTACCTACCAAATCCTAGTCTTCCTGTGTTCAGCTGACAGTTAGCAATCACGCTTTGCAACCAAGCCCTGTGGTCTACACAAGCAGCAAGATGTAGCACTTGAGGAAGGCTGATGAGGGATACAGCTGGCAGACAAGCGTGTTACAAGGAAGAGACTCCAGTACTTACAGGCCTCGAAAAATTAGTGGGACCTGCCATGACAGCACTCCCTTCTGTTGGCGAACTACAAACAGGACAGGATATTGGAGGTTCTCAGAGCTGCTGTTCACATACACCCGCACTGCATCAACCTGTGGGAAGAGAAAGGAAAGTCAGATGGGTGTTAGCCGAAGGGAAAGAACAAGACAGCTTCAAATCCAGGTGGAAGAAGCCTGCCCCCTTCCTCAGTCTGACCTAGATGCTGGCAATATCCACAGGGAGATCAACACTGTCACTGCACTGGTTATTCATTCAGATCCAGAGGTCATTTATAGAAATGCCTCCTTGCTGCTGCTCTAATCCGGAATCACAGCCCTGTTCCCAGGTCAGAGGGGACTGTCAGACAAGACACAATGGACAGATGCAGCAGATGTAATAAGACATTCACTTACCCAAATGGGAGCAACCTGAATAACCTGTGCTATGAAAGCAAGCAAACATACACACAAAACAGCGAGATGACTATAACCCATACATACACCACCTAACAAAACAAGAATACACTGCTGACTGCCCTCAGCTACACAAGGAAGGCTGCTTCAGGTTGTGAGCAAGGGTTTTAATGGAACCCACTGCACCAGCAACTGGAGTTTCTCCTTACATTATCTGGCCACCACACAGTTGCAGAGGTAGTATGGCTGTGGAGTAGAATGCCCTCAGTTTTCTATTTGCTTTGAGAAGCAAGCAAGCAGTCTGTATGCACCAAATGGCAATGCCACCATTTCCATTTGAAGAGAACATCCCTCTCTCCAGAGCTGCACACGTCGCTAAAGAAAACAGGGTGTGAGAATGTAACTTATCAGAAGAGACAGCACACCTCTGTTGATGACACTGATGACTGATGATATATGGATGATATGATGTGATATGAGAGCGTATGAAGTAGATAAGACACACACATTTTAAGCCCACCACATCTTGAAAAATTAGAATAGTCTCTCAGTTGATCAGTGAAACACAGATATCTTAACTGTATGTCCTCCAAGAACAGCAAAGTAGAAAAAATATCCAGAGGTAGCAAGGTAGCAGAAGAACAGCTCCTCTGGATTGCAGCTTAAGCATACATTGAGCAAGTACCTTCACAGGTAGCTCACCGTTTGATGAGACAAGCCCTTAAATCCAAAGAGGACAGGCAAGCCTTGGAGCCTAATTTCCTTTGGAGTCTCTATCAAAAACCCATTTTGAAACAGCAATTCCTGCCCTTGCAGGAGACAGTAATTCACAGCACCTAACATGACACAAGCATCCCATCCCCACCTTTTGTAAATTTACTGTATCTTGCTCGAGGCAAAGTTGCTCAGGGCTCAGTCAGGTTCTGGATATCTCCACAGATGGAGACTCCACAACCTCTCAAGCAATCTGTTCCAGTTTTTGACTGCCCTCACAGTTAGGAAAAAAGAAAGAACAAAAAAAGTTCATGCAGAATTTCCAGTGTTTCAGCTTATTGCCCCTTGTCCTGTCACTAATACCCATGGACCCATTGAGAAGAGGCCAGCTCCCCCTTCTTCCATCGGGTTTTTATACACAGTAATGAAATCCCCTCTTCGCTGGGCTGAACAGTGCCAACCCTTGCAACCTCTCCTCATAGGACTGGACTGGCAGTAAGTCCATACAATTGCTGTATTGAGGAGAACTAGACACAGTATTCCAGGTGTGAAAGCTTTGTAACTGCCCAAGGCTAACCTGGGGAGCATGTGACCCCCTCATCTTTTACAACACAAGGCCACCTCTGTAAGAACTTCCTAGACAAGCCCAACAGTTCAACTGCTCATACAGGGACTCATTAGTGCTCCATTCACACACACTTTTACCCAGACACCCTCTTGCTTGTCTTAATGTCCACTGTTGAATCTAGCATCATCTGGGCCAACCTTTCTAGGCACTGAGGATTTCTTTTTTGAGATCTTAAGCCTGCCCCACATAGTCTAAGCAGTCAATTTTCTTTCGAGGACGGGAGGGGTGGGGAGAGAGAAGGGAGGGAGAAACCTGCCTATGAATCCAAGCCTATTAGACATTTACTTCACTAACAATAAGCAATGCCAAGACTAATCCATGCTGTTAAAGACTGATCTTCTATTTCCATGCAGCCCTGCTGCTGTGGCAAGTGCCACGCGAGATGCCTGCAGGGCCTGCTGAGGTAAGCAAAGACTTGTGAGTTTTAGCTTCCCGCATATAGTTACTATGCAACTACTGAAAGGTCTCTTGATTCTGCAATGACATGCTATAATCATCTCCATTCTACAGATGCCGAGACTCAAGTGTGCAAGAAGAGGCAGAAGGGCACAAGCAACATGTTCAGAGATTAACTTGTGGTGGTGCCTGAGACATTCAAAGCCCGAGATCTTCTCCCTGTATAGTCTGTACTGCATGACCCTCAGAAACATCACGTTAAGAGGGACGGTATCATAAAGCCTGCAGCTCACAGCTCTGTCCCCTTCCTGCTGCAGTACTGAATGGCCAAGAAGCCACCACATTTGCAGCTACCTGGGGTGCATATTTCCCTCCCAAGTCACATCCCTCCGGCTCCTTCCAGCAGTTGCCCAGCAATACTCTGCTCCCCAGATGACAGATCTGTAGTCTCTCTTCTGGGCAGCACTCAAGCAACTCACTCTCTTCCTTCATGCTCTGCTGATATCTCACCTGGAGCCCCTTGCCTGTTTTTTGAACCCTGGTGCTCCCCAAAGCTCCAGTGTTTGCAAACACACCTCCAAGCAATTTTGTTCATGCAATTCCACGAATTATCATCCCAAGGTTGTTATAAAGTTAGTGGAAGTGACCTCCTCAAGACGAAACCTCCATCTAGCCTAATCTTTGATCCTGATGACCAAAGCTTGTGCAGGATGACTCTTGGAGGACACTCCTTTTGCACCGAGGCAGGGGCAGGACCGCTTCAGAGACTTCTGCTCCTCACATTCCTTCCCATTGCCAAGCCTCTGCCATGTGTGACTCCCCTCTTCAACATCCAAGCTGATCGCATTTTTGTTTCTCAGATGAGTGACCTTGAGGTTTTTTCTGTATTTTGAGGTGGCCAGAGCAGTCAGACAGCTGAATAAAGAGAGCGCTCTCAGCACTATATAAAAACGTGTTAGACCAGGAAAGACAAATATTTGTACTTTGTTTCTATCACCACCCTGGAGATAGGGGGAGGGGGGAAAAAGGAAAGAAATAAACATATCTGGATACCATACTCTAGATCGGAACAGGCAGAAGGAGCCGGGGCCTGAATTCACACAGCTGAACAGGAGCAACACGGCTGCAAACATAAAGGAGAACAAACCGGACTCTTGTTGACACAAAGAGTCCTTGGACTGTTTATTAAGTCTGCATTTCTCACAGAGATTACACATCAGCTTAAGACTGCGGGGATATGAATTTAAGGGCAGGCAGGAGGTTGCAACAAGAGTTCCTGCTGCAAGCAAAGCTTTTCCAGAGCTTTCCTGTGGATTCCTTTCCACCACCTCACACCAAGCAAAGCCTTCGAATCACACCAGGGCTCCACCACATTCTCTGCCACACCTAACACACAAGCCACTCCTTGCAAGACCTCTGGGGATTATCTGTCCAAATTGCAACAGCACTTGGGTATGGACCTGAGAAGGCATCAAGCCAAGCCAGTGGGCAGGGAACACATCCAGCAAGCACACAGGGAGGCTGCTAGTTACAATGGAAGGTCTCAGTGCAGGGTGCGTCTACAAATGCCATGGAACTGCTGCTGTTGCACAAGAAAGAGGTGCTTCATCATACGTAAACCCCAAAATTAAGTGAAGTAGGATGCAGTTGGATGGGCTACAGCAATTGAAGCAATGAATGAAGTACATAGTTGTCAGTACCAAACTAAGCTGCTCTTCCCACTAACACAACAGTGGGAAGCTGAGACCCTGAAGGAATAGATACGAGACAGTGACAGGCACTACAGAACCTCTTTCCTGCCCTCTTATGAGATATGAGCACTCCTTCTGTCTAACAGCAAAATAAATGGAGCTCAGAGGAGCATTCCCTTTCAGCCTTTCTCTGTCTTTGTGCCCTAACATCAATAAGTCTTAATTGCCAAAAGCCATCTGTCAAATAACCTTGGCCCACAGTTTTCTTCCAGCATTTCTGCCAGGAGAATTAAATACCCTAAGCAGCATAAACTAAGCAGCAGACTCAGTGTGTCAGGCACAGCCACAGCCACATTAATGTAATTGTTCCAGGATTCGTATTTTTCATTTCAAAGTTCCACTTTGCGCAAACATGCTCTGTGGATTTACTGTCTGCCGTGGTCATTCCCAGGAGTTCACTTGTTTGCAAGAGTATCTGTGCAGCATAAATGGAAGACAAATACAAAGCATGTTAATATTTACCTTTTCCTGGTTTTGAAATGTTGTCCTCTAACCAATGTCACTAGGGAGCCTCCAGGACAGCCAGAAAGAAAAACCAGGAGCAGGCATGCTGGATGAAGGAGGTGCCTGTTCCTGACTACCCTCAGGCTTCAGGAAGACATTAAAAGAAAATAAGTTCTTTTTTTGAAGAGCCAGTTAAGAAACAAACTGTTCTCTAATAAATAGCATCTTCCTAACCCACAGGAGCTGGAACGCTGGGTTAGGGCAACCCTTGAAACAAGGGTGTTTAGAATCTTCCCAAATCTGCTCCCACTCCAAGCTCACAGCAATAACTCCAGGGATTACGGTCACAACATCAACATCTGGTTTTTTTTCTTGGCTCCCAGGTTCTTCACCTCAGTGACACTTCAGCTGTGGACTGAGTTACATATCCTACATGTTGCCTTCATCTCTTTGTTTAAAACCGTTGTTCGTTTGTTTTAAAACAAACTGAAGTAGCTGTTTCCATGCCCAAAGAAAAACATAAGCATAAAGAAATGAAGGCCGTTTCTGAAATCCTGTGTTTCTCTAAGTACACACAGCAGAAAATAACATTTGCTTATGCAAACACACTAAACTATATTCTCAACCCAAGCAGATGGCACACCCTTGCAATACAGCTTTTACAGGCTGCACTTTCATTCCCTAAATATCCCCCAAAAGAGCAGATGAAGTCTGTGTAGGAAAAGCTTTCTACCCAACAACTTCTACACAAGTTATTTAAGGACATT